TTATCTTTATATTTAAACTTTTATCTTAATATTTCAGTTTTATTTTGTATTACCCGATTGCTTTATTATGGGTTACATTTATTATTATAAATGTATTTAAAGTATTTTTTTTACATCAAATGGTAAGTGCAGCAGTAAAATCTTGCTTGAATTTTTTTTCTTTAAGAAAGAATTGTATATTGTAAATCTAATTGTATATTTTCACTTCCAGTTATCAGTCAGTCTTTTTATAAGAAGTAGGCTAATAGTTAATAATATAACATAATATTTGACTTTTTATCTATTTTCTTACCTTTTCTGCTTTATTTTTTTTACCTGTTTGCTTTGTCTTTTAGACATTTAGCTTATTATTATAAATGTATTCAAAGTCTTTTTAAACATCAAATTGCAAGTGCTGAGCAAAAGCATGCTTTTTTCTTTTAAATAATTTGTATATTTCGACTTACAGTCTTTTTTGTATCAATAAGTAGGTTTATTGTGAATTTTAAAAAAATTTAACAATGCTATTCTGGTCATTCAAGCAAACGATAGTTTAGTGAGATATTAAAAAATTAAAGCATTAAGAAGAATCTGAGATGAAATAATTCAGTAAAATGTTATACTATATAGGCTATTAATGTTAAAATCATTCAGTTAAAATTTTATACTTTTTTTGCTTATAGTTTTTGAGTAAACCTTGTATTCTTATTTCTTTTGTTAAGGAACCATTTAGATCTGAAAGCGCGAGGGTTCTCTTAATTTACTACCTTACTGCATTGCGGCGAGGAGAGAGGGAGAGAAAAAAAGAGAGAGGGAGGTCGAGAGAGACAGAAAGAAATTACATTTTCTTTTATAATAGGTTTCTCAAATAATTGACTAAAAATATCAGGCATATATGGATGTGAAAATAGAAAATAAATTAAACTTGAAACATTATAGGCTATTTAATTCAGCACTACTTTTTTATTTAGCCCTTATGTTTTATTAGTCGAAACAATAGATATTTTTTTTCAGATTTTTATTTCACCACTGAATCTGCTTAATTGTTTTATTTTTTATTTTTACAGGATGAAATCGATTTTTGAATGCAAAACATTTTTGGCGACGCCTTTTCATCCTTTTCTCCACTTTAATTATATTTTTCTGTGCGCTGCTGTGCTCTTTTTTTAGATGCACCATCCTTTAAAACTAAATATTCATCTGGAAGCTTTGTTCCGTCGTCTATATATACCCTGTAGAACCGAATGTGTGTTTACACAGCAAATTCACAGATTCGGTTTTAGGGGAGTATATGGACGATGCAAAAACGTCTGCTTTCAAAATTAAACCTTTTTTAAAATTGCTTTCCAATATATATTTTTTTAAAAATAGAGCACTATGTCCTAGTTTTGTCTTACATCCAATAATTTTCTATAAGACACGGATAGGTCTTTAATGTGTTCTGTTTAACTGTTGAATTCCAGTTATTTGCCTTTTCTTTCTTTTTAGCGAACAGAGATGCCGAGCGCCGCTCAATCCCGGGGGAAAAATCAACAGGACTAAAATGCATGCACTTCTCTAACAATGAGCTAAAATTGTCTTGTAAATGTTTCTGAATGTATATTGAGATCTAATAAAAAGACAGTGTACAAACGTGTTCTTTATTATTTGTTAATGAAAACATAATTAAATAGCCTTATTTATCATCATATTAGCTACTATAAATATAATAATTTTGTTAATAGTTTATATTATTATGTTTTGTCATATTTTACTATATATACTCATATTAGCCTGTTCATACTATTAACATTTGCAATACAAGATTTATTACTACACCTTAGTTTGAATCATTTTATTATAGTCTAGATAGCCAATTATTAATTTCTTACAAAGTTTTCCTTATTAAAACACTAACATGTTCAAATTGACCTTAAAATAATAAGAAGAATAAGGCATTACTGTGGTATAACATTATTGTAGTTTAACAAATCTTTATTGTGGATACACTAATTTCACCAGATCTCTCAAATCAAATGAGAATATAAGCATAATTGGTATAATAGCGCCAAAATGTTAAAAAGGCATAATATTACTGTGTGCGTATCATTTCCTTTAAAAGAGCAATTTAGATGCGGCTCACACACAGTAGAAGGCGCGCGCGCGCTCTGTTGGCCCGCGCACATGATTTACGGCACGCGCGCATTTGTAATGTGACCATAATGACCGCTTGCAAACACCTGCTCATCCACTATAAAATACATTAGCACATGAATACTTCAAATATATACACACAGAGCCGGAAAATAGTTAGTGTTACGGTTCCGAAAATAATTAAATCGAAATGCTAATAATTCATTCATTCATTTTCTTTTTGACTTAGTCCCTTTGTTAATCAGGGGTCGCCACAGTGGAATGAACCGCCAACTTATCCACCATATGTTTTACACAGCAGATCTCCTTCCAGCTGCAACTCATCTCTGGGAAACACCCATACACACTCATTCACATTCATACACTATAGACAATTTAGCTTACCCAGTTGACCTGTAACGTTACCGCATGTCTTTGGACTGCGGGGGAAACCGGAGCACCCAGAGGAAACCCACGCAAACACGGGGAGAACAGGCAAACTCCACACAGAAATGCCAACTGACACAGCTGGGGTTTGAACTAGCGACCTTCTTGCTGTAAAGCAATTGTGCTACCCACTGCACCACCGTGCTGCAAAATGCTAATAATAATAACAAAATGTGACTTAAAAGTTTTTAGGAATAATAGCATAACATTTTAAAAAGCGTTTGCAGTAAAAATGAGGCCGTTTTTAATACCAGAGATTATTTTACAACAAGGAGATGACAGACTCTTTTTAACATTGGTGAAATATTGGTCACGTGAAGGCACCCGCAGCCAATCACATAATAGGTGCGTTCGACTTCATGCAGCGCTGCGCAGATCGATCGAAATCTGTCTTAAAGCGGTGCATTCTGGTTAGAAATCTTGTCCGGATTGATGCTGCGCCGACGCCACGTGACTGTCACATGTGGCATCAAAGTACCGCGACAGCGCTCCGAGATCAGACGGCAAACTCAGACCGTGCAGCTTCTGAAGAGCGACTGCAGGAGCTTTGATGACGACACCGATATTACACGATTGGCCAAGTTCACCACATGACAACAAACACGTGTATTTCGGGTTTATAATTGGACAAATTCCGATTCAAAAGTTTCAAAACAAACAATTCACTTTTCACACCCTCTCTATCCTGTACACATCTTGCTTATTAAAAGACTACAAATATTTTACTGCAGTATCATCTTTTGTTAAATAATCTGGTTATAAAGGTTAGCTTGTTTGCACAGGTTTATTTTTTAACTTTTTTATACAGACTATTTACTGCATTCATCTCCATGAACGATTTAAATGATATATTTTAGTGTATATTTTAGTGAATAACCTAAATATGAACTCAAATAAGTCTTACAGACTTGAAATAAGAAAATCATCATCATTGATCCTGCCCCCCTAAAGCTCTCTTAACAAATTAAAGTAAAGAACTATTTTATTAAATAATTATAAAATGGCTTTATTATTATAATATAAATATATATTTTATTTTCTGTCTAGCAGTTTAAAGGCTACCTGCTCTTTCTGGGAAACTTCTACATAGCTCACTTATTTTACCTTTTGTTCTTTTCAACACAATCTTTTTGGATTAAAATGCTTTTTTAAAAAATTCATTCATCATCCAAAATAATGTCATTTATTAAGACCTAATCAAAACACCTTGTTTTGCTTTTTACATGGGAAATTTTTATATCTATAAATGTACATATATGTAAACCCTTTTTTAGCAGATTCAAACAAGAAGTATTAGCCTAAAGATTGATGTTTAACTCCTAGAATTTATGCTTATTGCTTTGTATTTAATAGACCTGTTCGTTTTTATGTTTATATTAACCTCTCATTTCCTCTTATTTCTCTCATGCATTTGTTATATATTTTATTCATAATTCTCTCTTATTGTTTAAAAAGGAACTACAGTTTGAAGAGCCTGTATTCTGTTTTATTTGTAAATGTTTTGTTGTTATAAATAAAAATAACAAAAAAATATGATGACGCCATGTGATCGGTCATCATGACTGCAGCAACTTTGAGTCCCGAAGTGTCCAGCTGTCCGTCTTGACGGCTCCGTTTTCAACTCCGCCCCGCCTGCGCTCGGCTAATCTCGTTGATCACCGGCTGCAGCTGAGCTTCATGTCGAACGCACCTAGTGTCCTCTGGTCTGTTTCAGCGTTAGCATTAGCATTAGGCTCGTTTGAGGTGCGCCTCGCCTTGGCTGCATTGTAAACGAGAGCAGGCGTGCGCAGTAAGAGGAGGGCTCAAAAATTACATCAGAAGTCGGACACCTGCTGAATCTCGCTGTTTAGCCACCTGGAATCGTCACCAGTGGCGGAGATCTCGTTCGCGTTTTTTTATCGCAGACGAATGACCTCATGAAAAAATACTATGGTGATTTATAGTAAATATTATTGCATTTTGAACATGTTTTTTCAGTATTGGGTTATGTTTATAGTTGTTGTGATACCAGAGCAACTATAAAATTTAAATAGGCTATTTTATAACATGGTTCAAAAGCACTACAGTATACATTACTATAGTATTTTTAATGTGGGAGTGGATGCAATAGAAATATCACAGAATTACAGAAGATGAACAGCTCATTAACTAAAAGGGTGTATTTAAAATGTAATTCTGTATATTCAACAAACGTTAAAAGAATAACAAAATAAACAGCTTATACAGCAAGAAAATTTTCAAGAAACCTAATTTGGCTACATTATAAATGAAGGAGCTATAGCAAGATGCTTTTGAGTGACAAGTCATGACAAATGTTTGTTTGACAAATAAATTCTTTGGGGGTTAATTATATTGACAAGCTTATTAGGTCTATATAAACTGCTTTTACTCCAGCCAGACTAAAATAAACAGCCCAAGACTTTCTCCAGAATAAAAACTATTAGACTGTAGGAAAAACTGTGAAAATGTTCTTGGTCTATTAAATATTACTTTTGATTTCACATACATATACATATACGTGTGTGTGTGTGTGTGTGTGTGTGTGTGTGTGTGTGTGTGTGTCTTGTTTACTACACCCTTTTCACTTCTCATACACTGAAAAAAATTATTCAAAGATGATTCCTTGGATTTACTCAATTTTTTTACGTTAAGTGGTTGTAAACAATTTATTTGTGTTGAATTTAAACAAACAAATTAAGTTGAACATTATTAAACTTAATTTGTTTGTTTAAATTCAACACAAATAAATTGTTTGCAACAGTTCTTCAGTGTATGAAACCACACAAAGATGAGGCATAATGACAAAACAGTCTCATTACCTTTGTCTGAATATATGTATATATTGGATTGACTTTCATTGAATAACGCTGCATAAAAATTACAATACAAAATTCACACAAACATACAAAAAGTGAAAATGACAACAAACAGGACTTAAAACTCAGAGAGAAATAAAATACAGCACACACACATCCTAATGATTTATTAGTAACATTTAGTTATATTGGATAGGTCACGTTATGTTTTACAAAGATGTGTTTTGTTTTTGTTTGTGTGTAAATCTAAATAAATAACCATATGTAATGCTCTTTATGACTTTTTTTAAATTATCAACGAAAATACAAAAAAAAGGTATTCAACAAATCCAGGTATAAACCTTAGTAAAACAAGATAATAAAGTGTAATGTGTCAGTCTCATCCAATCAGCATTAAGCTGTGTCGTCAGCCAGTCGTTTCCCATCATGCTTTTGGTAACGCAGTCTTTTGAGAGCAACTGCGGCCGACTGCTTAATACGAAGTACCCGCCTCGCGATCGCGAGAGTTTTTTGGCGCACGTCAGCGTGACATCAGAGCGAGGCGAAGGCAAGGCGGACACATTTCTAACCGGCATGCATCTTGCGGTGATCACCGGTGATCGATTCTGCGCAGATTTTGGCCAAGTCAAACGAGCCTAGTATCTGTTACGCTTTTTTACTTAATGGTTTGCAGGCTTGCCTTTCCTTTAGCTTTGTTCATATTGCGTCATCAGAAGTGGAGGAAGGTGATTGGACAGGAACCAGGAAAAACCTCGGTTTGACGTCACTACACTGGGACAGGAGCTTGCTTTGCCCTTGCGTGTAAAATTGATGTCTGTCTGAGTTTTTGGATCAGTTGTTGTGCTTACATTACAGTAGATTTCCTCTGCGCTGTCATGTCTCTCGCTGCAGAGGCTTTCGTCTCTCAGATTGCAGGTAATGGTTATGCTTGTATAGTTGTGCTGGAGATGAGCTAGATGATGATTTATTTTACGCACAGTCATTTCAAATAACGAAATGTGTATAACAGTAATGTTAAACTAACCAATACCTCTGGTCGTGAGTTTAAACCGTTTATTATTATTATCTACACAGCAGCCACAGTTCTTTTCCATTGCAGTTTGTTTGCTAGCGTCAAAGATGTGAACGACAGCTCAATAAATGCTTAATAACGACGTGAAATCATTCAGTGTAACTTGCTAAGTTATTTTTGAAATGTTGTTTGTGAAATTGTTGTAGTTTGTCAGCCATTTTATTGTATTTCTGTTGTAGCTGCTGAGCC